ACTTGTGTCGCAAGTTTCGTCGGAACGAAATTACGGAAAGTTAATTAACAAACGGAGACGTAACAATATGTTTGAAGCTGGATTTTGTTTGAGCTCAACTGTGTTTTATTCAATTATTATTATAAAGAAATAACAGTTTGTTTGTTTTGAAAATGAAGTTTTTAGAAAAGTTCAATTGGTAAAGATGGATATTATTAATCTATATTAGCACCGTTTTTATAAATGTATAAATACAATTACAAAGTAATTCCCGTTTATGCAAAAACAGTGAGTGCATAAAACATCACACCCCAAACCTGGATTTGAATTTCTTTATAATTAAGCACAAAGCTACACAATATGCTCTTTGTGCTCTGCCCACCACGGGTATCGAAATCCCGATTCTAGAATTCTAAGTCCGCAGATATACCGCTGTGCCACTGGGGGGCTTGAATTTTGAAGTCATCTTCAAGGAAAATGTATATGGAAAGTTTCTGTTGAACTAAAACAAACATATTCTTTTGTTTAAATAATGTTTAAAGTTTATTAGTAAAAACTTATTTTATTGGAAGGTCATGTTTGTGCTTATTTTTTAGAGCGAGATACCAATTTTATTTATGTGATTTTTTAATAACAAAATGGAAATTTAGAGAACTCGTTCAAAATAACGTTTTTCCTTTTTTTTTTTAAACTAAGCGTATTGATTTGTATTTATCTATAGGATAGTAATAGAAAAGGATGGTCAACAACGTTACAAAAGATCTGTTGAATTTGAATTGTTTTATTTGTGTGAAAGACGTATCTGTGACCTGATACCAGGAGAGTGACAGGTGCTTATACAGGGTGTCCCAAAATTCTGCTGCCATTGTAACATTCAGGAAATTAACATTTCTTTTCTTGTTTCGTAGCAGATGTTTTAGATAATGGAAATGAACATTGATGAATGTGTGGAGGTGATCTCGACTAAACGTCTTCAGTATTGTATCAGTTTTGAGGGCGGAAATCTTCAGCATATTCTGTAAATGTGTATAGAAATTCGGTGCATGGCAAACTATTTTTGGAACACCCTGTGGAATGGACTACCCCTACATCTTCAATCCTAAGGTTAAAAATCTAAAACTTTATATGTACAGATAAATTTAAATTCTAAAATGAACGAAAAACAACCGAAAAAACATTTTGTTACGCATCTATGGCGACCAACAGCATTGAAACCCATTCTTTAGAGTGGTGGCGACGTTACTGAAAAAATATTTGCAGAAAGAATTAATTGTGGTTTAAAAAAATATGAAAGAGAACGAGAAAATACATCGATAAATTAGCTTCTTGAATCAATGTTTTAAATGCTAATTCTAGACCTTTTTTTCCAGCATATCAATTAGGTTTCAAAGAAAGTACAGCACTCGGATTTGAAGAAAGAATGGTATACTAAATATAAATAATGTAAAACTCAGCGAAAGATGATAACAATCTTTGAATAGAAATAAATAGAGATAACTCAATTTTTTTGGATAAAAAGGAAATAAACATTATATTTCTTCTGAATTATCAAGGCTTTTACAGGCACAGTGGAAATCCTAATTAAAATAAGAACACAAATGCATAAATTAGGAATCCAGGGTGAATTGCAAGGTGGTGGGAAGTTCAGGGGAATTTCACTCACATTACGCGAGGGGCGTATGTAGTAGCAAAATATTAGAGACATTTATGGGTCCGTAGAGGAGTTTGTGTCAACTATTTTCATACCCGGAATCATCACTACAAACCAGAGGATGACACAGGCTTTAATACTTTTGTCTTTTACATTTCACTGAGTATTTTTTTCTAAGTGCGCTGGATTCCATTGAAATAGAACTGGATAAAAATATTATAAGACCAAGATTAAATGGTAGCAAAGAATGCCAACAAGTTTTGTTTACTATTATTATACAGTATCTAAATTTCTATCTGATAAGTAATAACTATATGTAAAAGCAAAAATTATCACTGGCGCTAATTTCAATAATCAGAAACAAATAGTGATGTGCTAATAATTCTCGTTAACTAAAAGCAATTGATCGAAAAAGTTAAGATACAAAAAAGCAAGACATCACTACCAGACTTTCAGTTTTCTTCGTCATATTTTGAAAAAAATACTTTGCCCTGTCAGAAACGTTTGTAAGAACCGTCATTTATTAACATTTGGATAAAAGTTAATATGATTCTTACAATCTTTCTAAGACCTCATAAATATACACTTACAATATTTAGCCACGGTATAGCGGCTCATAGAATGGCTCTGAGTTTTTTTGTTTTTTTTTCAAGCTCAAGTATCCAAATGTACAAAAGGCTATTAAATTTGTATCAGGTGACTACATGAGAATGTTAGTAAATGGTATGAGTATGATGCCTAGTGGTTCTGACATTTTCTGTAGTAATATAAAGATTGAACAAAATATATTATTTACTCTTTTTTGTATGAAACTTCCACTTTGTATAGTATAGATCAAAAATAATTTTAAATATCGCTTTTTGCTGTTATTTTTTTCATAATTCTTATCTATCACAACTAGATAAACTTCGTATTGTAAAATAATTCTGCACGCAAGACCAAAAACCTAATGACATTTTTTCTATTGAATGATCTTTCATAGTTTTTTGCACATTGAAATGCTACGTAATCATGAGTTTTAATGTAAAAAATAGCGTTTTATCTACCATTAATAATCGGTTCTTTTTATCAAAGCATCGTTTAAAAATGTGGTTCTTGACTGTCATGTTTGCAGGTTCCATACAAATATCTAATATGTTTGTGTTTGCGCTTCCTTTCTACAAAAAAATGAGCAATTCTTGTTATATTTTGATGAAACCTTTTCGTTAGAAGATAAACTTACAAAATATTTCTTCGTTATAACATATATTCTGGTTATATTTCAACACCATTTCAAGACGCTATAGATACGTTTTTTAGACTGTTTTATTGACTAAACATTAATCATTTTGTTCAGAATGAGGGGATATGATGGATAATCATTAACTATATTATTTATCATAATCCAAACTGTTCAAACGTAACATTCTATTGACTGAAAAAAATGTATACAGTTTTAATAACTGATGCCAAATCATTGATAACAATATTTCTATGGTTCATGTTAATATAAAGAATGAAATTCAAGTTTGACTGTTTTGTTGTTGTTGTTTTGTTTTTCGGTAAGAACCAACTGTAGTTAATACTTTGGTTTGATGATATCAATCTTTTATGTAGTTTTAATAGTCCTGTGCAAATTTTGTTCCATACAATCTTGGAAGCAATTAGAATATGGGAATGTGTTTTTATTTCAGTAATGAAGAAAAGCAAATGTTTTTCATCTTAAAAAGTTTAAAACTGTTCTCATGTGTAGCAACAATTTTATTGTAATTATAATATTTACACAGTATAGTACCATGTGTAAATTATTCACATAACTATTTTTGGATTGAGAACAATGCAGAAAATCAGAACACATATGAGGCCCAAAATACAGTGAAAATTGCTAAAGATCTATTACCAATCATACACCTAAGATATTAGGTACTAATATCCTTATAATATATCTAAAGTAGTCTAATAATTACTATGTGTTTAGTGACGCTGGAGACAAGATCTGTGATCTCAAAACAACTTAAATGAAAGCTACTTAAACGAAGCATAAAATATTAATCAATATAAAAAATATACATATTAAGTAGTTATAAATATTCCATTACATTACATATAAGAGACAGAGGAACAATGGTTGATATTGCACATTATTTAACAAAGTGGAGTAATAACATTTTTTGTATACAACTGTTCTAATATTTCCTTTTTGTGTCATTATAAAATTCAGAAGTTTTTTTTTTGTTTTTTTTTTATAAATACATCTGGATATGCTTTGAGCTTTGGGAAACGTAGAAGGAGTTTAGTAATGTGCCACTGAGTTTTGAATACTTCATAGTGATTTTGAAATCTACCATTAATACGTTACGAAAATAGAAAATAGGTAATAGAAAATATTGTGTCTTACGAGAGCTTGGTAGGTATTCATTGCTAGCGCTGCCACGAGATGGCGGTCGTGAGCATGGAATGGAGGCTAGAGCCTCTGTTCCAGTTAGAACAACAGGAAGCTCTGCAGCATTACCAAAGCGTCCTCTATTTCTCCCAAACCGGGCTCTGAAATAAATGAAAAGCGTTGCTAGGTTGTTTGTCAAAAATATCAGTTTGTAATATTTCTATTTTATTAAACAAAGAAATGAGTGTATAAGCGTAGACATTTTCTACGATTTAAGTTTCATCTTAAGTGTTCCTATTAAAATTTTTTCTGTTTATATCGCAAGGGTCTGTTTTCAATTTAAAAGATTAAATAACATTTAACTCTTAAGTCCAGTTGTACACAAAACTATATCTCATTATTTTGTGATCTGGTTTTATTTTTTAAAGAGAAAGCAAATTACATAATTGTGAGATGACCCACGTTAAACTGTAAGCAGACTGTCAACGTGACGTTAACATTTCAATACAATAAAATATAATAGGTGATCTAGTCAAAAATCAACAACAACATTTGTTTATGCTATTTTACAAAAATTGAAGTAATATGAACAGCCTTGGACTTTTTAAAACTGTTTGATAAATATTAGGTGGCCTTATAATTCATTATGAGTACTTAAGAAATCAATGTTAAGGTTTGTATGAGTAGAAGGAAAAAGAGGGTCAGTAGTAGTAAAAATACAATAACAATTGAAAAAATATATATATACATAAATTAACAAAAAGAAAAAATTAATATAATATCAGATATACAGTTTAGCATTATTCTAAAAGAACATGGCATGTTATTAATATATGCTGTTAGCGTTTCTAAAGGCAAGATTTCAACATCCAATCACGATTATATCATGTTGTTCTGCTAAACATTTAGGCTACTGTGAAAAAATTTATTTGACATAATAAAATCACTAAACACATGCTTTATAATTTTTAGTCCCACACAAAAATTACAAACGAGTGATTATAAGGTTCACAGTGTGCAAAACGGAATACAAAACTTATAAATCATTTCTATGTCAGATTATTATTAAGCAGTAGAAAAGAAGTCCGTAATATGTTCATGTATTCAAGGTGGCGTCATATCAGTTATACATCAAAATAGTTTCAACTAGATGTCACATAGAAGGAAAATAAAGTTACTAGTTGTAAAACAACCTTAGTGTAGCTAAACAGGAAATAAGTATCTAGCAACTATTTAAGTGTCTCTGAGATACGAACTGCACAACGTTAGTCGATAATGTCATGTCTATAACTGTTCAGTACAATATAAAAAAAAACTACTTGGCTTGTAAATATTTAATGATGGTTTGTGAATTACAGAAAAAATTACAAGAAGCTCCTATATTTTGAAAACAATCTCGAGTATGAAACTTATAGCAAAAAAGAATTATTCTTAAGACTATAGCGAGAATTACGATTCATTAATATTTTCTTAGAAATCAAGTAATTTCATGAAAAAATTGGAACAAATCTTAGATTTATTGAGAGTACTCTGAACAGAACTCATATTCCTTATACATCTACACAACTGTCACTATCAAGTAACAAGAAAGTAGGAGCAGGTTCTACTTGAGTTAAAAATATTAATTTGACAAAACTTACATGAAAAGTTTGCAAAATATATGATAAGTGCTGCTTCATACATGCTTGTGCTTATATGTGATTAATGGCTATTACATTACGAACATAAAGAGAAAGTGTAAAGTAGAGAGCTATAGGTCCCTGGATGTGGATGTTAAAGCCTTGAAGCATATGCTCAACTTTTGGTATCGACCCTTGATTATTTTTTGTCTAGTATAGAGTTGAAATAACAGTAGACAGTTGATTCGAATATTTTTGTAGCTAGGATGTGTGTATTTTCCTAGGAGGGAAAACCAACACCTGGAAGAGATAAGCTGATTTGTAAGGAGCAGCATTGTAAAGATACAAGTATCATATGTATGTGTGTGTGTGTGTAAACAGAAGAGATTAGAGATTAGTGGGAGTGTTTTAAGTGAATAAAAAGATGGACATATTCATTCACCTGAAATGCCACGACACTTTTTAAAGCCTTTTGTATTAATTTCAGAACAAATGGTAACAGCTAAAATAAAGTCGTTTTTGAACCCTAAAATACTTTTATATATTTAAATACATTGATGACCATAATATAATTACTCTTGGGACAGAAAATGGATATTACAAGTACTCATACCCGACAATAAATATATAATTTTTAATGGTTACTATGAAATAGATATTACAGTTCAATGAGGACTTGATCTTACCTACTGAATAATCTGAGCACTAGACAGAAAAGGGCAGTTCCAATCATTACTCCAGCAACAACCATTATCCCTGTCATTAGATCAGGATTCTCAAGAATTCCATCTCCCTTTCCTAAATGTGCAAAGTCGATAGGATGATACATATTTGATTAAAACCATATAATTTTAAAACCGATTGTAGAAAATAAAGGTGAGCGATCGTGATAGTCCTGGAATGAAAATATTGTTAAGAGTAAAGAAAGTGATAGAGTTTAAAGCTTATGATTCAATTAAACTTAAATATCTAAATGTTTTTTGCTCTTGTTAATATCATACTTTAAGAACAGAAAATTAATTACATTAAGAACCTTAGCAAAGTACTAATTTCATTGTAAACGAAAACAATATTTTCATTTCACAAACACCTTACAAAAACAGCTTCATTACTTAAAAAGAACAAAAACTTTAATTTTCTATATAATGTATTTCTCCGTATAAAGCTGTAAATCTCCTGAGGGCAAAACAATCTCTGAAAAGATCGTTATTACGTTGTAACTTTAATCGAATAGGGAATTCCCACCTAAACCGTTGAGAGTGGCAATAATTTAGACACTTTTTTGTAAAGTGTAACGTATTTCTAGAGCACCTATTAAAACTACTTAGATCTACAAGCGGTGGAATAACCGATTAGTCAGATTATAAAATCTTTCATAAGAGCAAATATGGATAATCTATGTATAACAAAGTAGTAACTGCGTCACAACGTGAATTTTTGACAATGCTGTATCGTAGTTTTCCTTAATAAACATTTATGTTTACCTCTGACGGATATCCAACATAAACATGAAAGTACAAGTGGTTGTTGCAGAGCTTGCGCAGTCTTAAAGTTTGTTCTGTCAACCGTTAAGGATTTTTACTTGCACAGAGCTTAAGATTCACGAGAATAGCTGTTGAGTGGTGTGTTTCTTCAAGTAAAATTATACTTCATGATTATTTCTTAGCGTAATGAATTAGCTTGATACGAACGTTTCATTATCCTCGCCTGAAAAGTAACAACTCTACCAAAGTAAAAACTTTGTTTTATCTATTTGAAAATCAAAACATACACATGCAATCACATGCTATTATTTCGCACAGTGTGGTAAATAACTAATAATTATATTCACATCAGTTCAGTTTGCTTAGAACGAAAGTTACAAAGTACTAGAAAACCTAAATTTCACGTAGATGACTGCAAATAGTCCCGAAACTGAAACTAAGAATGAGTTGCATACCTCAAAGACATTGACTTTATAATCACACTACACAGAAAGATGTAGAACATATGAAAATTTCACTCATTTCTATTATATTTTCTGACTAGAAAAATGGCCTAAACCAGTCACATATAAATTTAGTGCTCACATAATTATGTGACTTTTAAATGAAAAATGTTTACATTCGGCAAATACGAAGTAGAAATGATACTCTCAGGTACTTTTCTAGTAGTAAAATAATTGAAATTCAGTGTGCAAATAATGTGTTCAATTCCTCAAAATTATTAAATGGTTCAACTAATATTAATTTGGAGCTTTGACCACTTTATAAGCTTTTAATCTCAGAATGCATCATTATCGCCTTCTAAAGTTTTAATTATAATCTGCCAAATAGGGGTTCAAGCAGACTGTAGTGATGATGCATTAAAAATTTGTTCTAGAGTTTATGCTGTTATAAACAAATCGTGTTTTCTTGTAGCCATTTTTATTTCAGATAGTAAGCATAAGATGGAACTTTCACGCACATATACATACACATGTAAGCAAGTTAATGTTACAGATGACTTCTTTTCCGTTTGTGAAATCACTACAAAAAAGAAAGAATCACAGAATGATATTTTTCAAACCACCTACCGACGTGGATTCATATAGAAAAGAAGAGCATTTCACCTTATAAGTGTCATCTGGTTTGGATATAAAACTCGGTTTGATACAACACATTATTTTGGGCTTAATTCCTGTAGATGGGTAGTTCCTTGGTGATCAATCGACTACCAATTAATATCTGAGGTCAACTTAGCGCCTTAATTTGTGGTTGGTGTAGCGTCCATCAAACCATACTGACGGTATGACATCTTCTTAATGGGTATGATAAGCGAACATCAATGTTTAATTTCTGCTCATGTCATCTTTAATTTTTAAAATCGTTATTAGGGCCTTAAAATGCTTTAAACTGGAGACGCTGCTTATGTTTCTCTACCGTCATCTAGCAAGACATCAGTGCCTCACTTTCTAATCATTCCGTCTATAGATAATAAATATTTTTCTTATCCACAATGGTCTATACGTCTATTAAAAACTTCAGTTAGGGGACCTACTAGTCACGGCACCTAAGCCTAGTGGTATTCCCACTAATGTTACCTCCCACAATACTCTAAACTCCTACAGACCAGGAAATGTTGGATCCTGTATTCCCAGTACCCCAGATGATATATATTTCTTCTTTGTGGAACTAAGGTATTAAAGCTGACAAAGAAATCTCGAGCGATCAAAACAAAATGCATGAGTTGACTAAGGTACCAATTCTATTGATTTTCACCCCGTTTCCCTACTGATACCAAAGCAGTATATTTAATATTCCAAAGTAGTTTACTTGTTTCAAGAGTCAATGATGCCATTTGGACATTTAATACTTCCTGTGGTAGATCCTTTACCTAATTTGATGGTAAGGCCAATACTAACAATTACTATAATGCTGATCAACTGTGTGTCAACTGTAAAAACTCAAACCCTTTTTATTCATGATTATGCTTTAAATGGAAGGATGGAAAGAAAATGTTTTCTCTCGAAATGTTAAAAACTTCCCTTATGGTGATGTATATAAAGTAGTAACACCAACTGTCAAGCAGAATTATTCTTCAATCATGCATTTTATCATTTTGATTGGAATAGAGACATCTATCTGTTTACCACCATCTGAATATTTTTCACTCTAGTGAAGGCTTTGTCAGATCCTGATGATCCACTCTCTGACAAAGCTGTGTCAACTTCCAATTCCGTACCAGCATGCGATATCACTAAACATTCGAGTCCTGCCCAGTCAATTCTTCCCTCCAGGACCATTGTGCTCTTCTGACATTGTTCTTTGAAATTACTGTGTGGGAGATTGGAATAGTTGACTTTCAACTTTAAGAACATATCTTATGGAATTTCAAAAGACCCAGCATAGACAAAAAGTACGTCTAATATGTTAGGAGAAAAAATAAAACTTTCAAACCTTTGCCATTTAACCCCATTAAACCTTATAGATGATAACGTTCACTTTAATGTGGTGGAACTCTCGACGTTTAAGTTCTAATGTAAGGGACCTCAAGGCCCTGGTGCATTCATAACAATAGTCTTGCATCTTTTTATTGGAAATATCCTGATGTTACATTCTCGACTTGGCAATTATTCACAGATGTGTGGTAGTGGTTGTGATTCGCCACGCTCTATCCATATTAACTTCATTTAATATACCAATATATCATTTAGTATAGGTCATCGCTATCCGTGTCCCCATCGACTACAATATTACAGTTTGTTCTCTGTTTCTGTCACCTTGGAAAGAGAGTGATTAGACGAATCTTGATTATCGTTATAAGTGAGCTGCCATCGCCATTTTCCGTCTTTGGAAATTGCATTAGATGTAGCCCACTCCGGAATTTTGTCAATTCAAATGGGAGGGTATATTTATTGTGTAATTGCTTTTAAATATCTTTCGCTTGAATTATGATGCCCTTAAATCTTTCCACTACAGGCTTTTATTGCTTTTGATCTATCTATCTACGTATTCACCTGGTTCTCTTCTCTCATTTTATAGATAGGTTGATGAAAATATGTTTTTACCAAGATCAGTAAGAGTCAGTACCATTTTACTCATTCAATTTCTTGTACAGAAAATTGGCTTATTTATCCTGTTGTTTTTGAATATCCAAGTTTGTTGCATCCATTACCATGCTAGAATTAGGAGGATGGAGTTGGCTAAAAAAGAACTCAAGTTAATCTCCTCTGTTTCAATCGATCCTCTATACATTCTATATATGAATTTTGAAACATTCTACCATAGACGAGCTTCTAACCTCTTGGTGGAAGCTTTGAGCATGACAGCTGACTAACAGGCTTTTCCGGGTTAAGTCTGTATCGTAACATTGCTTATGTAGTTTGTTAATAGGAATTTATTTCTGCAATATTCTACATTGCTCACTGATTTTATTTCATCAACTTCTTTTATAACTTGATAAGCTAATGCATGAGCCTTGTCACTCTGTTGTAAGTATTTTACTCTCTTGCTTATTACTTGGCATTCAACATTGACAGTTGCTTATATATCTGTATTTCTCCTATTGATTTTGCATTTGATAGTGTCATTGGGAATCGCGACACGGGTGAACTTGACACTGTTTTTACCTTTTCTGGGTTATTAACCTTTATTACATGATTTAACGTTTTACAGTTGTTTTTACCATTTGGTATTTTATTATATATATATTATAATTTTAAAAGATCGAAAATTTTAAACTATACTATTTTATTTATTATGTTTGAGGCAAACAGTGTTGGAAACCATGCACTAAAAGAAACCTAAATTAACAAGTCAACTAACTTTTCAAACCTGGATATAAAATGAAAATGATACATTGATATAATCATATTTTTTCTCAGTCTTAACACTCATTTGTTAGGATCAACAGGCATACTCTGCAAGGTCTCTATCAGTAAAGTGTATTTCACTATTCCAAAGAATGATTGGCGCCGTTTCGATTCAGATAAAGCTTGTTAACATTGGAATTTTTCCTCTTGTTTCCGAATTTTATAGAGATTTGAAAAAACACAGCCAGTTTTAAAGTGATGGCCAAATACGTATATAAAAGAGCCTAGGTTAACAATTCGACCATAATTGTGTTATGTTGTGCCAACATGTGATGGTCTGCATTCTACGCAATAGATGTCTGATTCTTCCTTTCCTATCAATATTTGCAGTTCTTTAAGTATTTGCATTTGTAGTTTTTGCTAAAACAATGCATGATGGCTAAAGTGTTTTACATTCTGTTGGATTCACAGTTTCTTAGAATCCGTTGTAATGAAGTGATCTCACTACGACGTTTTCATGCTTCAG